TGCTCTGGAACGTAATATGGTGTGTGATAGCTACACAAAGGTTTTAATAATAAATACATTTCTATACCCAAGACACTGCCGTTCACATACCGGAAGTCAAAAAGCCGACATCCTCCACCCTGAAGAGAGTACACCTACAGCTCATGCAAGGTTGCATGTACAGTATTCTAGAAGAAACAACATTTCTACAACTACATGAACACCTATGAGCTGCACGAGTCTAGGAGCATGGGGTGCCGCACAAGCATAGCACTCTGGTCCTTCCACATGGCACAATGGATCGCGGCTCTGGCACTCACCCTGGCTGGCACACCACCATGCCTTCAACTTGGTGGACATTATTAATGGCTGCCGTCAGCTAAGAGCTTAACGGCTATTTAAGGGTAAGTGTGCTTTCATATAAGGTACATTTATTCTGCTTGTGTAGAAATCAAGTGTCCCAACCTCTCCTGCCCCAGATGTAGCAGTATATGACAGCTATGGGCTCCACGTATGCTCCAGAAGAATTTCAGAAATCACAATCACCAAAGAGCCACGCTGAAAGCTGTGTAAAGCCAAGTAGATCTATGTGACAGGTGCAGAGTACACCAAGAACAAAGGCTGCAAGAGGTCACTGTCCAGAGCAAGGGGGGCCTACTCGATGAGCCAGTGATAGGAAACGGTGCCACAGGGTTGAATCCTGGCAAATGCTGCAGACACTGCTCCTCCGATAAATGACAGAGAAAATGCTTCACTAAGATTTCAAGTGGATTAAAGCTGAACTCTGGGATAAGCAAAAATGGTCTCATACAAGAGTCATGTGTGTTCTTCCTTGAATCCTGGTGATCTTTGTGTATTTCTTCCAGATCTGTGCAGTAATCCAGTGTGACACTTTGTGAAGCTTCCTGTAATAAAGACCGGTCATTGCTGCTCTCTTTCATTTTGCAAGGTGACTGGTCTTATATGTACCTCCCTCCTGTAGTGTTCTGCAGGCAGCCTGTAGTGGGTGGGGCTTTCTGGGTCCCGCCCACAGTTCTGATCTCTGCACAGGCTAAGGAGAGTGCAGAGATGATGATGTCACTGCTACCTTTACAAGGTAATATCTGGGGTGCAAAAGCATTTGGTGCACACAATGTGGCTTTATACCATTTGCGATCATTGGGGAATATATTCCAATGAGAGTTTTTTTGTTTCTGGATGTGAGCTTTATTGTATTTGGCTCAGTACATCCCTTAGGTGGTAGCATCTGGAAAAAGCTGCTTGTTTTTGGACAGGGGGGTGCAGACAGCAGGACTCTGTAGTGGAATCAAGTATCAGCAATCACTGATAGTTTTTGTTTCTAGTTCTTTGTTTGTTCTGTTAGCATTGCTTTCACAAAGCACAATAGGAGCGGGCACTTCTCTCATCAGAGATTAGTTACTTCAAATATCATTGTGCAAAGAATGCATTGTCTCTTCAGGTAAAAAGCACTTCAAGTTACAGGACATCTTCATTAGGACCACAATACTAAAAACACAAGTTACATTTTATATGGCAAGTGAAAGTTCTGAGAACACAATTCCCAAAACAAAAACTGCATTTCTGGCTAAATCAATCAATCACGGGTCTTTTCTGTTCTTGCTAAAAAAGGTTTTTAGATGTGGAGACCACAAAACACTGGATTGCAAAGGGCGGCCACAGTGGTTCTCTTTCTAGTTAAACTTCCCCTGGGTGCAGATCTGGTGCCGTCCTTTACTACAGAGCAAAGAAAAAGATTAGGTACTGCAAGCGCACCACTGTCTCCCTCAGCCAAGGATTGCAGGCAGTCCTCCAGCCAATACGACTCGGTCAAGGTCAATCAAATATCTCCTTGCTGTCTTTTTCAGGAAGATAGCTGCCCATCTATTGCCACCTTTAGTTAAACATCATGCATTCATGTCAGCTGATGATTAACCAGTAGGAGATCATTGGGATGAGGAGTAAATGCTAAAATAATTCTAGTAACATATTAAGACAAAGAAAAACAAAACATACTAAGGCAAAGTTCATAGCCCACGTACACCAACAAGTGTTCAATTACCAAGTGTATTTTAAAAGGATGTCCAACACTCTGGTCCAGAAATGGAAAGGGAATCCAGTGTAGAAAATGCCTGCACTGGCCACACACCCTGCACGCTGTGATCATTCAATGACTCTTACCATCTAAATAAACGGACACCGAGATTGACCGAAGAGCACAAGGACTGCATGGAGTTTAGGGCTGCAACAACTAATCGATTCTAAGAATAGTTGGCAACTATTCCCATTATCGGTTAGTTGGTTGGGGGTTAAGGAGAGGGAGATTTTTTAATGCAACCAATCGATTTGTTAAAATAAAAAAAATCGAGCAACTAATTGATTATGAAAATGTTAATTAGCTGCAGCCCTAATGGAGTTTATTTTACCATTTATACTGCAATCATCTATCCACATGCAAACGAACATAGCAAGCCAAAATAATGTGAACTAATGGTAAATTAAAAACTGAACTCTGGGAAAAGAAAGCTAGAGAAAGCGATAGAAAATACAAAGCTTAGCTGTGTTTTGGATTAGTATGTTTCCTATTGAAATAAATGGAAACACCTGAATATACACTCATGACGACTGCAATGAGCTTATAAAACATAAAACATCCATTTTGTTGTGTTTTTATTTATTTTAATGGAAAAAAAATAAATCACAAGGGGGGCATAGGTGTGAATCCAGCCTTAAGGTGCCCATACACCTTACAACCATCGCACGACTTTCATCCTGCGATAGTAAGGTAATTAAAAGCTCATACGATCTGCCCACCTTGGACAGGCAAATCATGGCACGCCCTCCCCGCTTATTCCAATGCTGAGCGGGCAGTGTGCGCTTGTGCCCATCGGCCCGTGCGTGACTTGCCCCGAGAACGCCACTCAAGCGTGCTCGGAAGACAAAAGACGTGCGACCGTACAGTAGAAACGGTTGCACGCCTTCCATACACCTACCGATTATCGTACGATCGCGGGATCACCCGCGATTATCGTACAATAAATCGGCCACCTTTAGACTAGTCACAGAAACAGGAGATGCAGGGAAATCTAATGGCCTTCAACACTCCTGGTCCAAAGTGGGGTGTACACGGGTAGATTTTAGCATTAACGTTCATACGAAAAACACTGTCTGAACATTTGATACTGGCGGCAGAAACTTGCCGATTCTCGTTCAAAATTCCCGCTTTTATTTAAAGGAGAACTATGAGATGAGTGATTTACACTCACCTCATAGTTCTAAGCCGACCTGTGACAAATGAGACTGTCACAGGTCGGCTCAGTAGATCGGGAGGTGAGCGAATTGGAATGAATGGAGTTTCTGAACGTAAACCACATTCTCTGTTAGAATTTCGTCTGATCGCGAAAACATTTCCAACATGCTCCTTCGAACATTTTCAGGAACATTGTTGTTTTAGTCAGTCAATCACACCGTACTAATAGATCGATATTCGATGGCACATTCTGAAAACGACTTCTACTTAAGGCTAGTCAGCAGCACTGGTGTCTTTGGATGTTGTTTGAGTGATTGTACATGCGTTTTTAGGCTTTGAGTGTTTTGGGTTTAGCTCCTGGCTCTGTTCATTCGAAGATTTTCCAACTGGCTCCTTCAATAAACTGACCGAGGGCCGGCAGAAGCACCCACTGTGTAAATTTGCAGCCGGTTCATCAAGACCTGGAGGACATTCTCATAAGCTATGGTTAGCTTAAAGGTTTCGTTATTCTTACAGTGCAAATAACAAAAAATTGTGGTTGCACTCTCCACAACCTGAAGAGTAAAGATTTAGTAAGGAGGAATTATCACAACACAGGAAGCAGATGTGTCAAAGCCACAAAGCTTACACAGTGAAACCCTGATGAACAATACTTGCATGCCAGAAACATTGCACATCTCTCATCCCCAACACAAACATCAATTCCCCCCAATAATCCCATTCTAGTGCTCGCTGGAACCGTGTGCTGGTTGAAAATGTAACATGATAAGTGTGCCGTCTCATGAGAGGTGTAGCACCCCCTCTGTAGCTTCAATGGTATTTCCACTTCTGACTTCAGACAAACTGGCTTTATAGGCGCTACATGTTGCCCTTTTTCTTTTTTAAGTTGCCCCTTTTTACTTGTCAGAAAAATGTGCCTTCCCCTTCTATGTAATGTTAAGGGGCTTCCAAGATGTGTTAACCATAATTTACCCGTGTGTGTGTCCCGTGCCAGCAGACCTCATTAACACATTTATACTATATGTACACCAGGGGTGGACAAATGACTACAGAATTCAGGGGGCAATCGGTCCTATCCAGAAGCCAGCAGGATTTTTTAGGAGCCAGTTCCATTGGCAACTGAAGAAAACCTGAAAATGCGGTCACCAGCTGTGATTTTTAAGGAGCATTGGCGACCTGGCTCCTGGGATCTGTACAGTACTAAGGCTGGTCATACACGTATCGATATTTAAAAAAAAATTTACTTGCTCAATTCCTTCATCCAGGCTAATTAGCAGGGACGAGGAGTCTCCTCCACTCTGTATTATTGTATTCTGACAGCAGTGGGTGTGCCGCTGTCAGAATACTCAAACAGTGGCTGCAGCTGATTGGCCGCAGTCACTATTCATCTGAGGATTTTCAGACCTGCTCCTTTAACAACAACAAAAAATTACTTTTTCCAAACACGGTTGTGGCCACACGCTGGTCGAATTATGTCCAAACCAGCAGGACCAGTGTGCTTTGTGAGCAGAGTAATAAAGGGTTAAAGCCACCTTGTATATACTCACACACAAGAACACTGTCCCCTAGTCAAAAGCCTAGCGGTGACAGCTACTTCCTCGAATCATTGCGGCAATGCTGTGTGAATGGGACATACATTCGTCTGTAAAAGTGGAAATACCCTGTAATGAGCACACATCCCCCCTTCCCTGGATGGTGCACACATGTCAGTACCTAGCCGTCTATACAATGGCCCCTTTCATCACCTTCCCCCATTACATGCTTGGACACTCACACTATCCACATGCCGGTGATGGTGAAGGCTGGCAGAGTGATGGGCAGGATCACCCAGCCGGGCATCTTGGAGGAAGGCATCCAGAAGGCGATGATGATGATAATGATGGAGGGGGGGAGAAGCCGGGCTGTACCCAAGGCACCCACACGGGGTTCTATCTTCCTCTCTCAGCCGAGGAAGGAGCAGCGAGGTCTCCCAGCGAGTTGTCCAGGTGGAGGCTTCTCCCAGTAAACTTTCAGCCGCTCTTCTCCCATAGCCCAGGTTACAGCCCGCCGCCCAGGGCTGCCAATGGCACGGAGGGTCTCTTCATGGGGTCAAGGTGGCACCAGACACAAACCCCCGGGCCAAAGCTGAAGGTTTACCCGGCCGAG